TGGCCGCCATGCTGTGCGTCTGCTGCTACTTCTGCTGCCGCAGGAGCAGCCGGCGCCGCACCGCACCGCCGCTCGGTGAGATTCCTCCACCGCTCCGGTGATGGGGTGCGGCTACTCTCCACTCCGTCCCTCTTCTTAGTGAAAGACTTCCCCACCGCTGCGGCGATGGGGTGCGGCTACTCTCCACTCCGTCCCTCTTCTCAGCGAGAGACTCCCCACCGCTCCGGCGATGGGGTGCGGCTACTCCCCACTTTGTCCCTCTTCTCAGTGGGATACTTCCCCACCGCTCCGGCGATGGCGTGCGGCCACTCTCCACTCCGTCCCTCTTCTCAGTGACAGACTTCCCCACCGCTCCGGCGATGGGGTGCGGCTACTCCCCACTGTGTCCCTCTTCTCGGTGAGAGACTTCCCCACCGCTCCGGCGATGGGGTGCGGCTACTCCCCACTGTGTCCCTCTTCTCAGTGATAGACTTCCCCACCGCTCCGGCGATGTGGGGGGGGGGGGGGGGGCTACTCCCGTTCCGTCCCGCCGCTCGGTGAGATATTCCTTTGCCGCTCCGGCGATGGGGTGCGGAGACTTTGATGGGGATGAGGGGATGCGTGGTACGCGACGACATTCAGCGTTTTGAGGAATGCCGTTCTTACCATTTTGGATCCGTCAATATTTTTTGAAGAGAATACTTTGAACGTGATCATGACGTTTTGGCTACGCATTTGTGCGTCAATGAGACTTACAGTGTTGTGTATGTCAACCGATGTAGCTTTTTAATGTCAGGTTTTATGGCTCTATTCGTTTTGTCTACTTCTGCCTGACTTTCACAACCTTACTGTCTTTACTGGACATATCAAACCAACTAATCGCCGACCACTTCTAAGATGGTCTTCAGTGACCCAAAAGAGTGCACTGCTTCATAAAATTTCGATTTTAGCTAAAACCCTAGTTGATAAAACGTGCTTCACTTCGGGTGAAGCTCCACGGCAGCAAGGCCTATCCCACTGAGCCCACCACTAACTGAGCCTAGACTGTCCTCTAACGGCGCAGCGCGGTGCGGTCCGGCAGTGTTCTCGGGGCCGAGCGGGTTCCTGCGCCACCGCGGCGCTCGGCTGCAGCACCCGGTCCTGGACCGGCGGGCCATGCTGGACAGCAGCAGCGACGCCAGTGGACCCAGCCCCTCCAGACGGGTACGCACCGCCCCTGGGACGCTCGCCGAGCACAGGCCTCCGACGCGCCGCTGCGCATCCACCACGGCAAATACACGTGCTGCGTGGCGGACGTTTCGTGCCGATATGCTGGAACCATTAACAATGTCATGGTCGGCTACACCGATCTGACATGTCTTGGAAGAGGAAACAAGCGAAATGTTTGCGATTTTAGTACAAGCATGCTGGTATGCTCATATTTGAGCTCGCTTCAAGAGTGAAGCATTTGTTCCATTCATCTGTAGTTTTGGAATGGTCTCATTATCTACGTCCGAAACGGGGAAGGTCACTCAGCTCAACGCAGTCTGGCACTGAGAGTGCGTGCCGCGCTCTGACACGCCGCTCCCCCATCCTGCCCCGCAGCGGACGCCCGGTCCACCCAGTAAGCGACCGGTGGCGTCCCTGACGGGCGGCGGCCCGCACAAGCCGGGGGGTCGGGCTCCGCCACCGCAGCAGGAGCTGGCGCGGCCGTCCCGCTTCCTCCCGCGGCCCCGCCAGAAGCAGGCGCGTCCGGAGAGCGCGCACTCGTCGCACGTGAGGATCGGACCTGACCCGGCCGCCCAGCTCGGCAAGAGCCAGGTGGGCCGTCTGCCGCGCCTCCACGACGACGCAGGGATCGCTGGGACAGGAGCGCCTTCGTGCTTACTGTGTGGCGTAATGGGATTTGCCAGCGACATCAGACGCCGTGAAAGCTGTGCACTGAATGTGTGCGTAACTGATAAACCTACGCGCTTCTTTGCGTCATTGTGACCTCTGCTACATATGCCCAATGTGACCAGCGTGAGGCATATTTTCCGTTAAATCATATTCTTCATACTGTAACAGACGGAGCTCCTCGCACTCCTACACCGCGTGTGACCTCGGCGCCCTGTCTAACCGCCGTCTAACCGTCACCGGTGGCAGCAGCAGCCGCAGCTGCTGGCGCTGCTGCAGCCGTCGGACGGCGGGCGCGGCCGGTCGAGCTCCGGCACGTTCCGGGCGGAGCGGACGGCTCGCAGCGCCAGTGCCGGCCGCCGCGCCCAGCCCGAGCCGCAGGTGTGCCCGCTGCCAGCCGGCCGCAGCCGCAGCCGCAGCTCCGACGGCAGCAGCCGGCGCGGCTCGGCCGGCGACGCGCCCGAGTGCGGCACACACTCCTTCTTCCGCGCCAGGTGGGCGGCTGGGGTGGAGACGGGTGCGATGCCGGCTGTGGGCGGTTGGTGGTCCGTCTGCGGTCGCGGGCCAGCTTCAGCTGCCGGAGGTTTGGAGGCGGTTTGTCAGGTGTTAGGCACGTCACCCCGTCCTGTCTCAGGAGGCGGTTTGTCAGGTGTTAGGCACGTCACCCCGTCCTGTCTCAGGAGGCGGTTTGTCAGGTGTTAGGCACGTCACCCCGTCCTGTGTGCGTGTTAAAAACTGATTGGGATGACATAGTCTTTTCTGGCCAGAAAACAATGTCCATAGATCCCTAAAAATAACAAACTTGGGGGATTGTGAACAACCTTTATTGGCGACGTTCACCCATCACGTGTATTTGCATTGTCTGGCTCGGTGTGCAGAGCTTAGCACGTGTACCCCCCGCCATTTTTCGCTCGTTCCGATCCGGCATTACGCGTCTCGAGCTGCAGCAGCGCCCCGGTCTCCCTGCGCGTTCTCACGCCCCGGCCGCCCGTTCCAGGACCATCTCCGACACGCAGCTGTTTGACGAGGCTCTGATCCAGCCGACCGTGCGGCCCGTGGCGCGGTTCGACACCCAGCGCAGTCAGCGCAGCTCTCACGCCCCGAGCTCGCACGGCAACACATACGTGAGTGTGGCGACCTGGGCGAACTGAGGGGTACTGGCGGCTCTGACAACGGCAGCGTCCTCCAGCGGGCAGCGGCTGTCGCGAGCGGCTGTTGTCGCCGTGGGTGACTGATGTTCTTTCAGCTGAGGCATGCGGCAGACTTAAGAGAGGCCTGTTGTGTGTCAGCTGTGTATTTTTAGCATATACCATTCGTGTTTTTTGCGTGGTTAAATTGTTGGCATCAGACATAAATGTGACAGCCATGGGAGGCCCTAGACACGGGATATGCAATCTACGTTGTCAAATGGCTGTTCAATGTGGAAACATCTCCAGCAGCTAGCTGGAGCGCACCCGTTGAACACCCTCGAGTAAGCTTGAATGCCCAGCTCAACTGTAACCCCTCTTCACGTCGTGAAAAGCAAAAGAAGCAGCGACCAACCGAAACCAAGTTTAATCGTGTTGTTTCCTCGTTACAGGAGCATCACACCATGGCAGAGCGTGACGCAGCGTCCACATACGTGATGCCGGAAACACACCTGTTCCGGAGGGCCAGGGTATGTCTTGTGTAGCAGATTTTGAACTCTGACAACAGCGCTATCCTCCACGGCTCAAATTACGCAGTCTGCAAATGTATCAGACACTAGAACCAAATGTAATCACCGTCTGAGCAGACGAGTCTTTTGTACGCGTGCGCTTGGACCTCTGGCGGGAAGCGATCTGAACCGCGCACGTTAAACCTTCGCTAAAGAATTAGATTCTCCGCGACGGTTTCACGGTCTGACGCATGACACTGCTGAGTGCTCTTTGCGAGGTCTCCTCACCTGCTCCGACGGCCGTGCTGGCTCGTCACATGCCCTCCTCCGCTGCTGCGAGGTCTCCCCACCTGCTCCGACGGCCGTGCTGGCTCGTCATATGCCCTTCTCCGCTGCTGCGAGGTCTCCCCACCTGCTCCGACGGCCGTGCTGCCTCGTCAAACGCCCTCCTCAGCTGCTGCGAGGTCTCCCCACCCGCTCCGACGGCCGTGCTGGCCCGTCAAACGCCCTCCTCCGCTGCTGCGAGGTCTCCCCACCTGCTCCGACGGCCGTGCTGTCTCGTCAAACGCCCTCCTCCCCTACTGCGAGGTCTCCCCACCTGCTCCGACGGCCGTGCTGGCTCGTCAAACGCCCTCCTCCGCCCGCCGCAGGACTCGGACAACCAGTCGGAGACGAGCCTGGTGGAGGAGTACGGCCGGACGCGCAGCTCGCGGCCGCCCTCCTCGCCCGGCAGCCGGCGCGGCTACAGATAGGCGGCACCACCGCGGCGGGGAGACGCCACCGACCGTCGAAGCGCCGGCTCACGCGTGGGTGGGATATTTATTCGGCGTGACTGGCGGCCCGCGGAGCGACACGCCGCGTTCAGGACGAGGGCAGGCTGCCGACGGCTGCTCCGTTAGAGAACAGCGAGCCGACGAGCGATGTAGTGTCGAACTTGAGCGTGTGTAGGACGCGGAAGGCTGCGCGATGTTGGCTTTGTACAATTTTGCGATGTTGGGTATTTTTGTGACGCATGGCCCCTGCATTGATTGCCATTTTAGCTCAACCGTGTTTGTGTTGGTGCTCACATGCAGCAGCTCCAGTGTTTGCTCAGGCGCCCCGGCGGCTTTGCATAGCTCCAAATGGCTCAATAGGCTCTTAAGTGTTTGCCGGGCACATTAAGTGTCTGGTGTTCCGCGTGTTATCCTTAGTGCTGAATGACGAGTGAGAGGGTACCAGAGGACCACGTGTTTAGAAAATGTTCCCAGCGGCATTGCTTCTCGTGTATTATTTTTAATTGACGGTGAGCTGTCGGGAAGATAGACGCAGGCTTCGTTCAATATGGGCATAACGAAGCAATTGACCGACAGTGAACATGCGAGTTCGAACTTGGAGGGTGGAGGGAAATTTGCGTTTCTGTACATGCAATTGTAAATATATGGATAGCTTCCACGGCATTGGTGTTTTTAAGAAAGCATCGTGAATGGTTCAATCATTGGATCGGATACCAGATGGTTTATTCAGGATCTTCACACAGTCAAGTCACGAGTACACTCAAACAGCGGTGCGGATAATGCGGCTGGAGTGCATGAGCATGTACGGCAGCATTCACGCTCTTCCAGGGGCACACCATCTACCGCAGTGCCCGATATTATGACCTCACACTCCCAGGAGCCTTTACCACATCGTTTTTTTGTGAAAGCGAATCATGCACTGCTACTTTTGAATGAAAAGCGAACTACACTAATTCAGCGTTACGTTTTGTTTTGGGAACACTTGCAACAAATGGTACTTCATGCAGTACCAATACTGGAGGCATAACATTATGTGTATCGCTGCCACAGCATGGAGAGTTGGAGCACCTGATCGTCTTTCTCGGATCGGAACAGTCGTCTCGTAAGAAGCCATCGTTTTCGTGCAGGTCTCTGGGTTGGCTCTGCACTATAATGACGTGCAACAGCAATGCAATAGGTATATTTGTAATTTCTGCTAGGAACATACAGTGATGTACGTACAGGGCTGCCCCAGGGCTGCTGCTGCTGGCATTTCAAAACATCTGAACACCTCAGTGGTGCGAGCACGTGCCTTGCATGATGGGCAAATGCTTGGCAAATGCGATGTGTTCATACATAACACAATACAACAATCGAAGAAATCTTCAGCACCGAGCCAAACACATGCCTCTGTCGTCTGTCAGAGACAAGGTTAGCTGTGCCTGACCCAGCCGCACGTCCAGACCCGGAGCTGCAGCAAAGTGTGTGCGCGGAAGGCAAACTCTGCAGCACTCCAAGAGCCTGGTGGTCCGCCTTCCCGCCCCACTGGACGGGCACAGCAAACTCCGGCTTCGGTCCAACACGAGGGCGCCGCGCGGGGGCAGAGCCAAAGCCGGGCCCGTAGCCGCCGCGCGTAGGTCGCGCAGCCCGAGGCGCTGTGACGGGGGACGCGGGCGCATCGCCGCCGCCGCGCTCAAGACATGGCCTGCAGGGGGCGGTCCACAATTGTGCTGCGCCGGCGCGCGCGGCGCTGTTCTCGCGCGGTCGGCGCGCGGATCTTGCGCGTGCGCGCCTCCAGCACGATCTGGGCGTGTCGCTTCATCTGGGCGCGCGTGGGCACGTTGGGCCCCTCGTCGATCACGTCCGGCCGGTCCACCTGCCGAGATGTGGGCGTGCAGCTGAGGTGGGCCAGGCACACCGACCTTCTGCGGGCGGCCGACCATGTGGTGCGGCGGACTTCGCGTGTTGGGTAGCCCATGGGTACCCATGCGGAACGGGTATCGGGCTGGATTGGGTACCGATTTGGGGAAAACTTCGGGGGTGGGTGCTGTTTGGAAAACATATTTACGAAATGCCGGGTTTCATGAAATACTACCTTAGCGCCAGGACTTCTTTGACCCATAATTAGCCTCACTCACATTAATTTTGCAATGATGAACGCAAAAACACAGGTTTGTATGTGAGCTTTCCTGAAAGTTGTCCATAATCTAGAGCTGAACTGCTGGAGATAAATGCAGACGGGTGGACAGCGGGCGCGCACAGTTGATTCTAAATGGGCAACAGGTCGGTATGAGCACACCCCAGTGGGTAGCGGATAGATTGCGCAAAGAAAGTCTTACCCGTGAAGGCCTCTAACGTGGTGTACTATATGTGTGATCTACATGGCCTATGTTTGTGCCGCATGTACGGGGTACAGCCACATGAGGCATAACCTGCACGCCATGTCTTAATGCACCACATGCGCTTAGCTTGCATTGTATGAGTGAGGCATGTGGAACCGTATAAGCACCTTCTGCATGAGCTGTGCGAAATGACTAAATGAATGGCATGTGCATAAAACGTACTGTGTGTGTGTGATATGTGACATGGTATAGCCACCTGAGCATAACCTGTGTACCATGACTACATACATTATATGTGCATGATGCGTATCGTATGTATCTTACTAATTTTTTGCGCTGGGGCATGTTGAAATTATGCATGACATTCCACATCGCCACACCACATACCTGTGATGGATCAAAACACTTTTTGTAATACGGACGGCGCATCGCATATACAATTATTAACCATTGCCGAAGCCTGAAGGACGTTATTACTTACCAGGAGGAATGAGAAACGTTTCTTGCCCGGCGGCTTAATAGGCGGTATGCCTCGGACTTTGGTGTCCAAGGCCAGCTGTTCGGATTTGGAGGCAAAGAAGTCCTCGGCATCCATCTCGATCATCTGAACACACGACGTGAAGAGCGTTTAGGTACAAACCGTGGAAAGGGCAGTCGAAGAACTTTCGATAACCATACACACGACAATTTGTAAAGCCTCTATTCACTCGGACTGTGTTCTAATCGTTCAATATAGGATGCCCGAAAAATGTAAAAGTGATGATTATTGACTTCCAGAACCCAACATGATAATTTCATCTACGGGTATGTTTGGATGCTTGGACGGGACTCTCCCTTACCCCGCACAAGGACCCGGATTTCAGGTATGTGCAGGTACTCGGGCGGGACTTTCGTGAGAACGCAATAAAGACGCCGAAAGCATCATCAAACGACCAAGGATGAAATAGCAATAGATTTAGCCGGAGCGCGAAAACTTAGATATGTCGAGTATACAGTGTTATACGACTTTTTGAGACAGATACGATGAAAATCGGGACTCTTGGCTGACGGGTGCGCCAAGCTGCCAGTGAGACGGGGCGCACTGAGACCACGGGATGACACGGTGAATGAGGAGAGCACGGCCGATAACTCTACGCTCGTGAGTCTTATTTTTATTATCATGACCGTACAGGCCTTGGTGTATGATTATCAGAGCAAAACAGTGCTGTCGTCATGATTTATCTGGTTTCAGTTTGCTGACACAAGTTTGAGAGTGAGAGCTAAACTAAAATTTCAGACATAAAAGTCATTACTTCATAGCTGTGCCGCACCAACATCCATCATTAGCATTTGATCTATCTTCGTATCATTCATAAAGGTTTGAATGCATAATCAACACACCACACGAGCTTTGTGTTAACAAAAAAACGTACGAACCACGCACGCGCAAAAAAGGTCAGACTGCGTAACATTACCCTCCAGAGGCCCAGGCAATAACAGGCATAGCGTATGCATCGGTGCACGTGAACGCTCAACAGCAACCAATGGAACGGATATCTTACCATTTGTGATACGTTCACGGCTTCCAAGGGTTGCATGACAAACTGCACGGCTGCCGAAACCGCGTTGAACAGGTCGCTCAGGCCCGGTGCTGTGTATGCATCATTCATCGGCAGCTTCAGCAGAGATACGCCAGCGTCCTGGAAATATGTGAAGCCTCGCGTTTTACATCACGCCATGTGCGGGTGACGTCACACGAATGATAAAGACGGACGGACCTCCGCCTCACGCCACGGACCTCCGCCGCAGCGCGACGGAGGTCCGTCATAGGCTGGCAACCAAGGGTGTTAACGCAAGCACGCAACACACCGAACGGCACCCACGTACCTGGAACAGGTCGACCATGTGAACCAGGCTGGTCCTCATCCCCGTCAAGCTTCTCGTGATCTCGGCCGTTCTCGTCTCGGCAAGCTCTCTTCTGTCCTCGTGACCGGAGATTCTCCTTCGCAGCTCCGCACATCGGGCACGCGTGCTGCAGGCGGCGGCCTCGTGTGAGTCATGGAACTCCGCACATTTGCTGTCCGTTGGGCGCTTTCTCTAATGCTCGCTGCTTGGAAGTTCATTTTATTTGCTTATGCGTCGCAGGCTTTATTAGAGCTGCTATTACAAAAGTAGTGGAGGCCTTTGCTGAAAACTGATGCATCCAGCCCAGATATCTGCCGAACTTGATGAGTTCACTAACCAGGAACCGCGCCTACTAAAGAAGTGCAACTTAAATGTTTGCATAACAGTAGACCACATTCCAGCGCTGTGAAACGTTATCACGTTATCAACACTGCCGTGGACCTGCAGCTCACCGGGTTTCCTCGATATTATCGGCATACTTGAGTTTCTCCTGTTCCAGCTCCAGTTCTTGCTTTCTTATCTTTAACTGCTTGATGTTGCTTTCGGCGTCCTTCCAGACCATGCTAAGCTGCCGCGATGTTTCCGACTGCATCTCGAACAGCTTGACGACATCTTCTATTGTTCTTGCCCCCAAGAAATCCTGTCGATATGAAATGTGGTGCAGACGCATAAGCACAAGGCATGCATGACGTAGCGGACAGGCGCACTGCGGACATGGGTCAGCACTTAGCCCAGGTCTTTTGGTTTGGTTTGGTCTGGGTCAGAACCCTTTGGTCAGAAGCGACCACTCCAGAACCATTTGGGGAGGGACAGTGAGTTGTGGTGGGGAAAACCACATACACCTTTGAGTCCTTCGCCAAGACTTAGCCCGCACGGGGAGCGCCACATCGACTTACGCTCGCCGCTCCTTCGGGCCGCTCCACTCGTGGCTGGCGCATGCAGGTTGCCGCGGAATACGCGGGGCGTCGTGAGGCTGTGGAGATTGGCGGATGCAGCGAGGTAGACGCCACCAAGCAGCGACCCGGCCGAACATGTGCACACACATTGTGGTCGTCGTCACCCCGCACTTACGATCAGGTGCTTGGAATCCTGGTAGAGTCCGGCCAGCTGGGCGTCGACCAGCTCGCTGACACGGCGCGCCGTCATCACGGCCGAGTGGCTCGGCATTATCGGCAGCGGGTTGTCGGCGCCGCCGAGGTACAACTGGCGCCGCAACTGCTGGTATTCGGACCGCTGCTGCTCGGCCTGCCGCCTGCCGGCAAACAGACGAACCACTGAGGACGTGTGAATGCACACCCGCGGGCAGCATGGTCCGGATGGAAGCTGTAGCTCATCCCACAGACCGGCAGCAGTGGCACACCCTCACAAATCAACAGCTGTAGCTGGCGGCAACAGACTGGCTGCAGTGACACACCCACGCAGGTCAGCAGCTGTAGCTAACGCCAACAGACCGGCAGCTCCGGCCACACCCTCACAGATCAGCTGCTGCAGTTAGCGCCAACAGACCGGAAGCAGCGACACACCCACGCAGGTCAGCAACTGTAGCTCACCCCCACAGACTGGCAGCTGTGCACCCTCACAGGTGAGCAGCTGTAGCTCACGCCAACAGACCGGCAGCAGTGGCACGCCCTCACAGATCAGCAGCTGTAGCTGACGCCAACGGACCGGGAGCAGTGACACACACTCAAAGATCACCTGCTATAGCTGACGCCAACAGACCGGCAGCAGGGGCACACACTCATAGATCAGCTGCTGTAGCTCACGTCTACAGACCAGCAGCAGTGACACACACTCACAGATCAGAAGTTCCAGCTCACCCCTATAGATGGCGACAGTGGCACACCTTCACAGATTAGCAACCATAGCTCACTTCCACAGACCGACAGCAATGACACAGCCTCACAGATCAGCAGCTGTAGCTCAATCCTACAAACCAGCAGTGGTGGCACACCTTTACAGACCAGCACCGATATCATGCTCACAAAGGCGAAGAGCAGTGCCACAAGGAAGTCGTCGTGTCAATCTGTAATATCAGGGCGCAGCACTGCGCGGGGCCAACAGAAGCACGGCACCCCAGCGACCGCACGTCAGCAAACTACCAAAACGTGCTACACCGCCGCACGGAACTGACTTGTGCTGGGCCAGCACGGCGTCCCGCTCGTGCCGCCACTGTGACGACAGCTGCTGGCTGTCCTGCAGCTGCTGCTGAGCTGACTCGCACACGGAGCGGGCGTACTGCTCGGCCTGCTGAACGGTGGCGCGCGACCCGGCCGCCGCCGCCACCCGCTCGCGCAACAGCTGCAGCCGGCTCCGGTATGTCGTCTGCTCGTTGCGCAGCGATGCGATGACGCGCCGGTATTTGTCGCGCACGTGCTCCGCCTCCAGCAGCTTCTTAGACACGCAGTCGATGTGGTTGTTGAGCTGGCGCAAATGCTGGGGCGACAGTAGAAGCGTTCAGTCTTTTTACAACCTTTTTACCTTTAACATCAACCTTTAACCTTAACCTTTAACCTTAGCCTTAGACCTTAGCCTCTAAATTTAACCTTTAACCTTAACCTTTAAACTCAACCTTTCGACTTAACCTTTAGTCTTAACCTTCGACCTCAACATTCAGCCTTAGAATTTAATCTTAACCTTTAGCATTAATCCTTAACCTTAACCTTTAACCTAAACCTTTAACCTTGACCTTATCCTTAACCTTTAGCCTCACTTTTTAACCTTTTTAACCCAAACCCATTTTATCCATACGTAGGAACAGAGTTGTGCAAATTCCTACAATAGATTAATGCAAATCCAGCCCCAAATGGTCATCTACCACCAGATTGCTTCTAAAATCGCTCAACTTATTCGTCGAACGCAACGAGTCTCAAACAAGACTGGTTGAAATTTCACGGGTCTCGGGTAGGCGCATGTAAATGCAAAACATTCCAGTGGTCATCGTATGCTCATACCACTGCCTCCGGTTGGCGATTTTCTTCATACATGATGTTGTCCACAACGGACTCCTTAAATGTAACCATGATTGATGCCAGCTTTTGTCTTTTCTGAAAAAGCAGAACCGTCAGTATCGAGCAAACAATAAACGCTGGAAAGAAGTCATCATGTCTAACAGATTTTAGACCATACACTCATGCAGGTGTAGATCACACCCAAGCCATCAATGATTTCCATATCTTATTCGAGATCCAATTTCCTAAGTTGACGTAAAATGATAATGCAAAGGTATGTAAAGACGATTCTAAATATATCGAGAACCATTTATCTCGTTAAAGCCAACAATAACATTTGGATGTCAAAATTTGAAGCGCCTGCTATATGTTGACAGAACGCCATGAAGTCCCATGAAGTGCGAAGCCGATAAAGGACTAAGCCACTTTGTTAACGGACTGCCTCCGTAGGCTATTGACAGGAGCCAGTTAACAATAAAAAGCAACTAAAACATATCGGCAAGAACGAAACAGTAAATGAACACAGCTTTCGTTTAAACGGCTCAGAACGTGTTTTGAGAACCACTTGTACCACATCGCTCCCGTTTACAAAACTTTGGCAGCTTTTCTACGACAAAAATAGAAAGAATGGTGGATTTATAAAGTTTTTCATAGTTTTCCAAATTTTACCCTGAACTTTCCTCCTTTTCCAGATATAGACAATTAATTCTCGAAGGTTTTGAGGTCGACGGGCATCACATATGAAGCAGCGTACAGTTTCCTCTTCCAGTGTCCAGCTTTTACTAGTGACAGTTCCCTTGATATTTGTGACAGCTTCCTTGATTTTTTTTTATATATAGTGACAGTTCCCTTGAGTTGCAGGACCACGTCTGTTCGCCCCGTCGAGTTAGCTGCCGTGCTACAGGATTTGTATGCGCCGAATAACCCGCTGAGCGTGATTCTCCCCGGGCGGACATGGCTCGCTCCCTTCCACCTCGATGTATCTACGAACGCGTTTACTGTCTGCAACAGGACTCTTAAGTCGCTCGTGACATCAAATTTGCATAAAAAACAATGCCAGCAGAGACTGAAATAAAGACCCAGATGTGGGCTGAGCACCACACGCACGCGGCCAGTAGACTAAAATGGAGGCCCAGATGTGGGCTGAGCACCACACGCACGCGGCCAGTGGAGACCGAAATGAAGACCCAGATGTGGGCTGAGCACCACACGCACGCGGCCAGTAGAGACCGAAATGGAGGCCCATAAGCGGACTGAGCACCACACACGCGCTGAACACCTTCACCCACCCGCGTTTCAGCATAGCGATTGCGTGCACACACTAAGCCAAGCACGCGAACGTGCCTGAGCCGTGGCGGCGCGCAGTTTGTTGAGCTGGTTGGTAAGGTCTCCGAGCCGGTTGTTTTTCTTGTCGAGGACATGCGACGGTTCTGTGCGCTGGTGAGCATCGCTGCCCGTTGCCAGGCCCTCCAACGCATCGCGCATTAGGCGTTCATTCTGCAACGATGGGAATCCTCAGCAAGGCTCCTGAAATGAAGTGCACCGATACCGGCCCAGCCAAACAGAATTAGTTTACACACACACACACACACACACACACACACACACACACACACACACACACACACACACACACACACACACACACACACACACACACACACACACACACACACACACACACACACACACACACACACACACACACACACACACACACACACACACACACACACACACACACACACACACACACACACACACACACACACACACACACACACACACACACACACACACACACACACACACACACACACACACACACACACACACACACACACACACACACACACACACATATATATATATATATATATATATATATATATATATATATATATATATATATATATATATATATATATATATATACATTGACTTCGGGGCTCATAGGCCGTACTGTTGAACGGTCGCTGTGTCGTATGTATACTGCCACCATTTCAGAATTTTAAAATGTTTCTAAAGTTTCACGTGGCGGGTACTCGAGCAGTTTTTCACTTGTGTCATGACGACGTCCACGCGTTAACAAACCGAACCCAATCCAGAGCATTGAAGCATGTGTGATGTCACACTCCAGGTTAAACCGGAGGTCTTTTATGTTTCCGAATCGACAGAAAGATGTAGCAAATGTTGCCTGTATGAAAACAATAGACTTATAACATGCATTCAAAGTGGAGCAGTTGCCCTTCGTTGACTCGCGTTATGAGAGGGCTGGTAATGCAGCAGTGGTCCAACAAAACTCTACAGTAAGTTCCTGCTGAACTATTTCAAGTTGCTCTTATAAGCCCCACCGACTGAAGCCCTCAACGGGTTTATTATGATGAGTCGCTATTTCATGAGCGGCAGTCCTAAGTCCGATTGATAGAAACCGTTAGAGGGAATGTTTCACATTTGAAGATACTGAAGCAAATATAATGAAACAATTTCACTCATAACTACTGGCTTTCTTTTTAAGTGAAAAAGATTACTCTAGACAACACAATTATCTGTTAAGTAAATATGCTCCTCAATGCGTCATGGTTTGACTGTGTCATCGTACCTTGCACGACATTGACTGAGGACTTGTTGATGGCCGTTATGTCTGGAAATCGCGCTCACGAAGGCCAGGTGTAAACGCCGGCACGATTATATTTTTTCCGGGCTCGATCACCGCATGGCTGATGGAATGGCAAGACTTGGATGACGTTGTTATGACGTCATGAATGCCAAGGCAAGTTTGAAATACTCTCTCCGATATACATTTTCCCATTTTCACGGGCATATCGCTCAGAAAAGAGGCTTAGGTCTTAAAAAGTGCAGGATGATTAACAGCATCGAAATTTTTTATGGTGACTATTTCAGTTAAAAGCCCCAATGTAAATGTAGAGCACTCCTTTTAAATCTGGGACGGAAATATCGCGGCCGCGACTATGGCTAGCTACTCTCGTTATCGTGAGGTCATGGAGCCAATGTTTTTTCACCGTGCTCGACGAGAGACTGCCACGTCAGCGAATATGACAGTGACACAAGCCAATGGCGTGCGTCGTAATCGATAGAAACAAGTGTCATATACACACAGCGCAAGGGCTCCGCTTGAGTCCCGGTCATGTTAGCGGAATCTCACAAAGAAAATGGGTGACATGACCAGTGCTCATACCATAGCCTCGCGCGGCCTTTGGAAGAACTCCCTGTCCCGTTCTTCCTTACAATAATATAAATGACAAAAGCATTGTGTTAACATGCAACCACACACCCAATTTCGCAGGTCTATGCTCTTCAGATGTGTTTGCATTTGGCAGAGAAAGTTTTGAAATGTTTGCTGATTACAGAAAGTAAATGTAATATAAGGTTTTGTTTCGTTTTCTCACAAGTAGCTTATGCTGGGAAGTAGTAGCAGACCATGCATCAAACAAGTTGGCAAATTTCAAAGCACGCCAATGCTTAGTTGAATACGGCAATGATTATAAACTGTCAGCAGCTTATTTAATCTGGCCGACATAACTCCGCTATCCTTTTGATGTTCACTTGGTATGATGGATACGTAAACACACACAGACCTTTCCAGTCCGCGCTTTTTCTTCCTTTAGAGCTTGTAGATCTTTTTTGAGCTGTCTGATGAGGGCAGCGTTTTTCTTCTTTTGATCCTCTCCTTCCTCATAATTCGCCTTCTTCTCACCCTCTGCAAAATTAAGAAAGGTGGAGAAAATATCATTGGTGTGCGATTCACAGCACAGCTAGGTTTCAACGTAGAAACGTCCATCAGGGAAATATAGAGTCTATGTACGGGAGCTTACCTAACAGAAGAAGCCGTTTTCTCCATTCGCTGAGCCGCTGGGTTGATTCTTCTTCGGGAAGCTGTTTGGTAACCGTATCGTTTAAACAGAGCCGAGACATTGCCAAAACGTGTGATCACGTGTGACACTAATATCAAGACACATGAGTACTTATTTCCAGCCTCAATGCTCACACGAAACCCAGGCGCAGACGGCCCGGGACTATTGAACAAGCGTTAGTCGCTATGGTAACCGACCGGTCTTGGGAACTACTGCGGACAACTGGCGGTATTTCTCCGAAAGTTGTGTGTACGCGCTAGCAGACAGGTGGTAGCGAGATAAAATGTCACCCACAGAACAAGCAGCTAAGCATAAGGTTGCTGTGCACTGTAGTGAAGGCAGCCTGCAGTGATATCAGTAACGCATATGCAACCGGTAATGAAGGTAACCTGCAGTAATAGATTGAGTAACCGTGACTAATATGAAGCACACAAATTAATGATAAACTCAGCGTATTGCGTGCGATTTGTCTTATACCTCCCCCGAGGGCGTACAATCTGACTACATTTGGTGACAAAATGTGAGAACAGCTTGTTGAGTCAATTGATGAAAATGTTGAAAGGAGTTAAAACGTGGGCTAGGCCTGGATGACATAGGTGGATAATTTTGGTGCGTCGGTATAGTAGGCTATGCATTTTGTTTTTCACTGTATAAGACAAAGAAAACGGAGGTAAATCGTCAAAACTAATCATTCCATTATCGCTTCTGGAGCCTCATCATGAAATTGTTTGATCTCATACCAATACCGTTGACAACGGTTTACGTAACATTTGGTGCATGTTGATTTGACTCACGTATGCGCCCCAGGATTATCATTTCTCTTAAGATGTGCATAATAACAATTTTCAAGCCAGCGTTTACTCCACTGGTGACTGCTTTGGTCCTACTGCATTCAGTAGGCGTCGAATTATGAAATGCACAAAAAATAACGTAAGCAAGGGCCAAAACTCATTGTTCTTCGTTAGGCCTATTAAAATAGCCGATTACATTTAAGTTGAAAACATTTTTGTTTCGTCAGCATGTAACAAATCGTCATTATACGTCTATGTATTGGACCCGTTGAACAAATGTATAAAGTACTCTAAATGTGAAATGACGAATAGGAGACCCCTAGGGTCTACCAATGGTAGTGTCAAAAGGTCAAATGTGGATTTTCACTGTTAAAATTTATTTATTGGCACTCCAACTGTTATTCGCTTACTGCAGGAGCCACGAATGTATTCTCAATAAGTATGTTATAAAGAGGAAGGGCTCATTAAAGATTAGCAATATCCCATGCTATAAACATAGCATCATGAAAACAGAATAGCTTGGAATATAGTCACATGAAAGTCGACCCCATTTGTTACGCATGTCGCGCAATGCTGCTCATGTGAATTAAAAGGAGCATCCCACCTCTTTGCATTTTCCACGCATAAACAGATCAAACGGGTCCCTCACGAAAAGCTTAGATTCTTCTGGAAAACTTAAAGATTTGATCTGAAGTAGCCGTTTTGACGGGAAAGGTCTGAATAGACTCTTTCCTCACCACTATGAAACTATCAACACCACATTATCCCTATCTATTTGTTTTTTCAGTATGTTTGTTATATGACACCCTCAGAACAACAATTTGCCAAAATAATTGGGTAAGAAATGGTTTGAGAGATTGAAACTCCCTACTTAGGGAAATATATACACAAATCAAGGCCATTCTCACGCGAATTCAACGAAACGTTGCACTAGGGCATAGATTTATTCCCCATGGCGTTTAGCACAGTGGCTCTGTTTGAAAGGTGCTTTGGCTTTGGGAAGCATTGTTTACTTGAATGCTTGTTTCGTTCAAGGTTACGTTTATAAGCCAGGTCTACACCAGCAGCATATCAGATGGTTAGTGACGCACATGTTTCACCAATGCACCACTCGCCAAATGCTTACCCCGCGCGCTGCGACGATCACAAACGAAAAGAAAAGCTGGCTTTGCGTCGTTGTGTCTGTTGAAAACACGCGCAAGGCCATGGCCACACAAATGACGTAACTTCAAGCCGCCATCAGTCTATTTTAATCACGATGGAAAGCGTTGAGAGGAAGTCAAACGGATGCGAGGAAAATCCGATTCGTCCTACACAGTCCCCGTAAGGTACGCGCTACTCGCCATGAACATGTGCATATCGCGAACCCCATGCTACTCGACCTATCTTGTCTCTTACCTTTCAGCCGATTGCTTATACAACAGGAACATCACAGAGTTCAAATTAGTTGACATAATAGTCTGTACGTTTAACCCATGCATCGATTAGTTAAGTCATAAACCTATGTCGTGAATTTCATAATAATCACATGAAAAGCAACAGCTTGCCCCCCAGATTTCCAGACAAAATACGACTGTTCATCGAGGATTTAACCACCATTCCATTAAAAACAAGATGGAGAGAAAATTGTGTAGCCCTTTTCAGGCTCAGCAAAAACCGAGGATGGTGGGAAATAATGTAGCGAGGCTTCCAATTCTCAAGTGCGTTCCGAACATCGCATCCTAACATTCATTCCGTACATTCGCTGTTACGTGTGGTTGCCTCTAAATTTAAGTACCTACTGGCACGCGATTGCCAGCCAAAATTAACAGTTATATTTTTTAGTTTTCTTTATTGCTTGGCTTAACTGTATCACTGTGTTGGTTACGTACTCAAAATCATAACGCTGCAGTTAACCTTTTTATTGCCAAATTGAGCAGTAAGCAAAACGTAAAACACAAACCAAGAATTCAAAATGTGCAGTGCCAAAAGCAGAGACGCCCAATCCGGTTCAGACAGCCGTCCCCCCGTAGACTCGGAGATGAAGCGAACAGAAATCGATGAAGTTGCTGAGGTCAAGTAAGTGACTTTCGGAGTGAAGTGTTAATATAAGCGTAAGTGTGACTGATTCGATCCCTCCTGCTGGCGCTCCTCACCTTTAGGCAAAAGTGTAGCACAAATGGGGCGAATGACTGCCAGTTTTTTGAAAGATGTCACTTAGATACACATGGAAAACACGTCGTTGTTTCATTATTTCACGCATTTTTTCCATTCATTATTCCACGAAATGCGTGGAATAATGAATGGAGAAATAGTAATACATAAGAAGATAGGCTGTCGTCATGTTAAATATTTATTGCATGAACATCGATGAACTACTCCTGGTGTAAAGCGGTTGTTGTTACAAAATTTATGAGTTCAGTGAGCCCAAGATGCAAAGGACTTACCATACTTGACAATTACTAGTAGCATGATTTTGATGTAAAAACTGAACGATGTTGCATTCCTTTTGCAGACAAGGCTACTAAATGTTCCCCAAATCATTGATTTTAAATAAAAATAGGCGTCTCCAGAAAACACCACATGAGACGGGTGCAGCGCGTGCATTGATGCATATATTGTCAATGTCACCAGTTGAGTTTCGAGATCCGCTTCTAAACGTTACCAAAAAAGTCGACATCATTCTGCAAACCTTTTGCGGCATTCATTTGCAATGAACAAAGGATCCAAACTTTCAGTAAAAAGAGCTTACTGGAAAATTGCAAGCAGGGAAGTTATCAAAACAGTACCTACGTGTTGACAACAAACGAAGTGTTCTTGAAATAGCTATTCCAATTCAGGAAACACGCTGCTGTACACTACTGTGATGGCCGCAGATACCTACCTCACACCACTTCGCAAAAAGACAGTGCCCGCAGAGTCTACTGGTATGATTCAAGGAGTCATTGACCAAGGACCACCAAAGTCGCCCAAATATCTGCCTGTCGCACTGAACTCATGCGGAAGCGTTTCTTTCACGCAGGACATGACGGGCATGTTTGAAAACCACAGCGACCCATACAATAGTTGCGTCTTACGATTTAAAACGTCAATGCCTTTTAAGAGACAACGAAATGTTATACATTGTTGCTCATGCTTGGTAATCTATTGATTTGTAGTCGCAGCAACTTAAGAGTTTTTCATTGTGCGAGTTATCCGCCAGCGCGCGCATCCTAAACTCAAATAAGTACGCAACAGGGGAACGATAACGCTGCGGAGATAACGGACTCCGCCACTGTTCCCCGAGACCGTTTCCAGAAGCGCCTGCCACCACATGGACGTGCGAGCGACGCATGTGTCCCCGGAACGGTATATCTTGCCGCATCGTCGGGTGTGCTGTCTCGTGATCGTCAGGCGGCAATTTGCCGTGGCAGATTGCTGGTGTGTCGGGATGTATTGTCGGAGCGATGAATGGGCGGTGCCGACCGGTGCCGGGCCGCGGCGGGCCGCGGGGACCGAGGGGGCCGGCGGCCGGCCCGGCAGACGACGCCGTCTCGTGTTGGCCAGTCGTTAGTGCGTGGACGGCAATCGTCGCCATTCAGCGCCGGCCCAGCTCTGTCAATGGCCGCCACTGGCGGCTGGTTCGACTTAAAAGACGGCTGTTCACGGCGACGTTATTCAGGCTCTGCGGCGGCGGTGGGGAGGAGTAATGCGTGGTGTTTTCTTTTCATAAATTAAATACCTAGACGTCTGGTCTGTTTGGTTAGCAGCAGTTAACACTAACCGACACGGGAGCATCTGTCTGGTCTGTTTGGTTAGCAGCATTTAACACGGACCGACACGGGAGCAGCTAACGAAACACGAGTCATGAGGCGCCACAAAGGCCAACAGGCAGCCATTTTACGCTACGAAAATAAGCGGGCGCAATAAGCAGCTGACAAGTGGTAAGCAAAACCGCTGTACATCACCTAAGTATAGAAAGAACTCAGTGGAGCAGGGCCGGCTCCAAAACATGCACATTGAGCGCATTTTGAGCCCATATGGCTGCGAGAGTTGCTTTTTGGTATAGGGCTACACAGGTCAGCGCAATGCCAGACCCTCGGCATCCGTCAATCACCAGTACCCCCCATCTGCTGGGCTTCAGGTAAATGCCGAAGACCCAAACACCAGCCCCCTTGGCAATAAGCAGGAGAACGGAGGGTCTCAGACTAACCAGACGCGAGGAATGATGTGTGCGGGTACCTGCACAGTCCTGCGCATACCTGAGGAGAACAGAGGGCCTCAGACTAACCAGACGCGATGAATGATGTGTGCGGGTACCTGCACAGTCCAGCGCATACCTGTACTGCACAATTGTGCAGTGCACGCCAGCCACCTGTGCAGTCCCGCGCATGCCTGCACTGCGCGATCGTGTGCCAGTTACCTGCTAGTGTTCTGACAGATGTGGATGTTTGAATCTTGATCGGAGGTCTAGGTCGGCTCGAAGAAGCGTCGCGTGGAGACCAGTGGCAAGCGAAGAAGGACTCGTGCGATCCCTCATTCCGCTTCAGCAATGCCAGATGCTGATGGGCGTGGAAAACAGGGCGATCCTGTCAGCTTCGCTTCGTAGCACATTACAACACGGGGGTCGCACTGTCGTATATCGCAGCGCATTAAGAGGCAAGCGTATCGCATATGCGTATCAAACTTGAAAGGCAGAACACACTATTAGCTCAGTGATGCGTGAGGATTTACATGCTGGTTATGACTGCGGTTTTCAACGTTTTCGTTGGTCAAAAATTATACGTTGTATGTGCATAATGATACGTGACTGGTCCGAATGACTTCAAGAAATGATTGATGTGTGCCATGTTCATATGTGGTTTATGGATGCCTTTAGCAGGTGCGAAACATGAACATGTTGTCAGATAGGTTCCCCGGGAGTTACTTTCCGAGGTCGGAGTTCTCTAATCTCTATAATTCCCTCCCAAATTGTGCCATGTTAATCATGTGAGAATCGTGAACCGTATTGCACTTGAGCATGTTATATGCACTCTGTAGAGACTCCGGAACGAATCGCTCCTATTGCTTCGCCTCCTCCACGAACAGTTCCTATTGTTTGGTGTTACGTGCTTTATCGATGCTGGTGTCATCGCGCTGATCGTTCCCACCTTCATAAGACGCCATGGTTGTGCGATAGTCAATGGGAGGTAACAGACCGTGAGCTTAAATTTGCGATGGGCATTGGGACGCTCTGTATTGGTGGCCACATCGCTATGGGACACACACACACACACACACACACACACACACACACACACACACACACACACACACACACACATATATATATATATATATATATATATATATATATATGTATATACAAAAAATCAAAGATGAAAGGCAAAGGCTTGGTAAAGTTCGGTGGTACACGATTTTCATTTCCTCTTTGGGGAGTAAAGTTCTTCATAATTGATGATCAGCGTTTGTTCAAACACCACATTTATTTATGTTAACACTTATTTTCATCCATCTTCGTACATCATTATACCATCACCATTATAAACACTTATTTTCGTGGTGGCAAACATTTTCGCCCGGGTACCAGGTACGGTGAGGGGCATTTATGGTTGACCTAGCTGCCGTTAGCTTAAACCCAGCTGAGGTAGTGAGTTGGCCTTGCTCTCAACGAAATGTGGCCACAACACACATTTGGCCCATTAAGTCGAAAATTATTATAGATCGGGGAAGCAATCTGGCATGCTTAATATATAACAGGAGTGCATGTAGTGAAACACCGCTTCGCTGCTGTCCTAGGGGCGCGGACACGAAGAATGGGTCCAATAATACTCAGACAGGGAACACAAAAAGAGAGCGTTTTCTCTGCATTTGGTCATCGACTAACTGAGGAATTATTTTGATTATGCTTCCATCCAATAGTAAAGTTGGACACGCCCTGGCTGCACAGCACACGTTTTTATAATTTGGAGCTAAGCAAGAAAACGCCAAAGAAGTGGCCTGCGTTGAAACAAGGCAGATAGGTGGCCGATCTGACCCCAATAGGCACAGCGCTATCTCACATTGGACGGCAGAACCCATGACATATCTATCTAAAAGCTGAAAAAGAAATGATTGTTGCATCGGTGCAATGAGAGCCGCCGTTTTCAGCGTCGTGCGCCAATGTCTTGAGCCGGCCGAGCCCATCTCGCAAATCATGCAGGTAAGGCCGTTTTCAGCTGTGTGCGATGGCAAAGCAGGTATGGTTGCTGAAATTTTTCTTCCACAATTTGTATACACCTGCAGGGAAGCACGTGTCCAACAACCCACGCCTTACAATGGCCAGATGCTGATCATTTCGCTTTCAAATTTCGTCACCTGCTCTCGCATGTCGGGATGCGTTATCATCAATGTGCCCAAGGAAAGGTACGTATGGTTGCTCGAAGGCACGCCAGTATGACATGACGTTCCCTCGCAATACTCTCTAACAGAGGTGCCACTTTTTAAATTGGTTTTGTGGCTGAGTCCACAAAATTTTCCTAACTTGCTCACAAATCTTGAGTTTTCCCCGGATTTCGACCACTCTGATTTGCATCATGTGTCAAAATCAAAATGTAAAACATTGGTTGGTTCCAAAATTGTTTGGATGCTGAAGCATTACTTTCCACTTGAAGCCGATGTGATAGTGAACATGATGAATGTGATGATGATAATGATGATGATATTGCTAGTGATGTGTTTAGGCACCTGGTGTACCAGCAGTTGCTGCATTTCATTGCTACAATATTCCCTTTTTGCTCACATGCATCGGAAGGAGGGCTCAAAAAGCATTGAAGGGACTCAACTCGGCATTGAGAGTGGGGCTCAGGCCCCCCAAAAGTATACAAAGTGGCACCCCCGCTTTCAAGGGATTGCAGTGAAATATTACTTTCTTTCATTCCGAGAGGTGGCATGCAGCCCGCGTCTAACCAGCCCGACATCCTTGTCTGTGGCTCCAAAAGGCGGAACGCAGATGGACAGAGCAGTTGCCCAATACTCTGGTGAAAATGCGCTAGTTTGTTTGCACCAGAGCCAGTAAGTTGCCATATTAGCATGCAAACACGTTGATGGCATTTCAACTA